GGCAAGGATCCACACACTCTCTTTGGTTTCTATCTTGAGACACTTTCTAGATTTGAAGCTATCGTGACTGCAAGGATCCACACACTCTTTGGTTTCTATCTTGAGACACTTTCTAGATTTGAAGCTATCGTGACTGCTGGATCCACACACTCTTTGGTTTCTATCTTGAGACACTTTCTAGATTTGAAGTTATCGTGACTGCAAGGATCCCCACACTCTCTTTGGTTTCTATCTTGAGACACTTTCTAGATTTGAAGCTATCGTGACTGGCAAGGATCCCCACACTCTCTTTGGTTTCTATCTTGAGACACTTTCTAGATTTGAAGCTATCGTGACTGGCAAGGATCCCCACACTCTCTTTGGTTTCTATCGGGTAAAGTCACGTAGTAGGTTGGAAACAAAAATTAAAATAGCCAAAAAAATCACCGCGACGTTTCGGCCGCAAACACAAGCGGCCTTCATCAGGTGAAGGTCGTGATCTGAGCGTGGCTTTTTTCCCCCACTCCAGCGCTGTCCTCCAGACAGCCTGGTCCCTTCACCCGGTGAAGGCCGCTTGTGTTTGTGACCGAAACGTCGTGATTTTGTTGGTTATTTTTTTATTTTTGTTCAACCTACTACGTGACTTTACCCGATAGAAACCAAAGAGTATAGTTAGACGCCTCCTGGCGGAGCACGGATTTCAGAAGAGTGTTACATTTCGTGTCCGAACCTTTGAGATTGCGCGTACCAGCATAGATAGAATGGAAAATACGAGGCACACGGTGGGTAGAAATACAAATATACACAAGTCCACCAAGAGGTAAGGAGGGAGGAGGAAAGACGGACAGGGAGGCAGAGAGAGAGAGAGTAAATCACGACGTTTCAGTCACAACACAAGTAGCCCTGTTCAGGTGAAGGAACAGAACTGTCGGGCCACTTGTGTTGTTGGCCGAAACGTCGTGATTTTTTCTCTCGTCGTTTTATTTATTTGTTTTACCCACCACGTGGTGACTTTCACCGAATAGAAACCAAAGAGGGTGGACCCTTGCAGTCACGATAGCTTCAAATCTAGAATTGATCTAAACGTCATTGCAAACGTCTGAGGCCTAGCGCCCAAGATTCCAATGAGCTCACTTTAAAATATATATTTTATTATTTTGTTGTTTCCCTTCAACGTGACTTTACCGAAAGAACTAAGATAATGTATTACTGCAGTCATGAAAGCTTTAAATCAAAGCTCACTTTAACTTGTAAAGAGTATGAATTACTGCAGTCACGACAGCTTTAAATCAAATTTAAAGCTTTCGTGACTGCAGTAATTCATATTCTTAGTTCTTTCGGTAAAGTCACCACGTAGAAGGGAAACAACAAAATAATAAAAATATATATGAAACAATAAAAATTCTCACGACGTTTCGACCATAACGCACCTGAAAACGACCGTTTGTGTTATGGTCGAAACGTCGTGAGAATTTTTATATTTTTATATATATTTTATTATTTTATTGTTTCCCTTCAACGTGACTTTACCGAAAGAACTAAGTATATAGCTTTAAATCACTTTAACTTCTTTATCCGAGCCCTAAGCGGACACACACCACACTCCCGGTGAAAGTGCGCCATCTAATGGTGGAAAATGGGTGCATTGCAGGAGAAAGGTAAAATTTAATTTAATTTAATTCAATAATAATAATGATGATGATATTTGGACACATTTTTTTTATTTAAAAGCTTTCGTTATTGCGCGGATTCATATTCTTTTTTCTTTCGGTAAAGTCAGTCACGTTAAAGGGGAAACAATAAAATAATATAAAAATATATATTAAAACAATAAAATAATATAAAAAATATAAATTAAAACAATAAAATAATTAAAAATATATATTAAAACAATAAAAAATATAAAAATATATAAAAACAATAAAAGAATGAAATATATTTAAACAATAAAATAATAACAAAAATATATCAAAACAATAAAATAATATATAAATATATTAAAACAATACAATAATATAAATATATATTAAAACAATGAAATAATATTAAAAATATATATTAAAACAATAAAATAATATAAAAAAATACATATTAAAACAATAAAATAATATAAAAATACATATTAAAACAATAAAATAATAAAAAATATATATTGAAACAATAAAAAAATATAAATATATATTAAAACAATAAAATAATATAAAAAATATATATTAAAACAATTAAATAATATAAAATATATATTAAAACAATAAAATAATATAAAATATATTAAAACAATAAAATAATATAAAAAATATATATTAAAACAATAAAATAATATAAAAAGATATATATTAAAACAATAAAATAATATTAAAAATATATATTAAAACAATAAAATAATATAAAATATATATATATTAAAACAATAAATAAATAAAAAATATTTATATTGAAACAATAAAATAATATAAAAATATATTGAAACAATAAAATAATATAAAATATATATATTAAAACAATAAAATAATATAAAAATATATTAAAACAATAAAATAATATAAAATATATATTAAAACAATAAAATAATATAAAATATATTAAAACAATAAAATAATATAAAAAATATATATTAAAACAATAAAATAATATAAAAAGATATATATTAAAACAATAAAATAATATAAAATATATTAAAACAATAAAATAATATAAAATATATATTAAAACAATAAATAAATAAAAAATATTTATATTGAAACAATAAAATAATATAAAATATATATTGAAACAATAAAATAATATAAAATATATATTAAAACAATAAAATAATATAAAAATATATATTAAAACAATAAAATAATATAAAATATATATTAAAACAATAAAATAATATAAAAATATAATAAAACAATAAAATAATATAAAAATATATATTCTAAAACAATAAAATTCCCACGACGTTTCGAACTGCAGTCTCCCTTCAACGCGACTTTACCGAGAGAACTAAGAATATAATACTGGTATGAACGAAGTTGTAAACTGAGTGTACCAGCCTGCAATAGATTAATGTGTCCGTCCGTCCGTCCCCTTTCAATACTTTAACGAAGTGAAATCTCGTGCTGTTGGGGTGTAAAATCAGCAATAGTCAGCGCAGAGACTTGATTTGTCTTATACTGGTAGGAACAAGGATTTCACCATTCCATTCCTCTACAGAGGTTAATTTGTCCCAAGAACCCTCGACGATTTTGAGGGCAAAGAGGCGGGGAAAGACGCTCTCAATGTGCACAATTTTACGTAACAATAGGAATAGGTTTTACCCCTTTTAACTGGCACAAAAACTGACACCTTTATTCAAGGCATCGTGTTTGCAATAACCACAACACCAGCAGTCAAAATGCAAACAAAAAGAGACAACTCTGATAATAATAATATTGGCACTGTCCTTGAATTTGATTGGTCCACACCCGAGACGGCTTTTCTTAGATCCCTTTAGTCTCTCCACTGGTGTTGAACCAGAAGACGCCAAAAGGCGTACAACTTTAAACACAGCGCACCATCAGAGTTATTGAGGTGCTCCGGGTGAGCGTTTACATTATGAGACCTCCTTTTAGCCAGTAACAAGATATAGGAATAGGTAGAGACAACTCTGATAATAATAATATTGGCACTGTCCTTGAATTTGATTGGTCCACACCCGAGACGACTTTTCTTAGAGCCCCTTTAGTCTCTCCACTGGTGTTGGACCAGAAGACGCCAAAAGGCGTACAACTTTAAAAACAGCAGAGCACTATCAGAGTTATTGAGGGGCTCGGGGTGACCCATTTACATTATGAGACCTCCTTTTAGCCAGTAACAAGATATAGGAATAGGTAGAGACAACTCTGATAATGATAATATTGGCACTGTCCTTGAATTTGATTGGTCCACACCCGAGACGACTTTTCTTAGAGCCCTTTAGTCTCTCCACTGGTGTTGGATCAGAAGACGCCAAAAGGCGTACAACTTTAAAATCAGCAGAGCACTATCAGAGTTATTGAGGTGCTCCGGGTGACCCATTTACATTATGAGACCTCCTTTTAGCCAGTAACAAGGTATAGGAATAGGTTTTTACTCTTTTAAACTGGCACACAAAAACTGACACCTTTATTCAAGGCATCATTATGAGACCTCCTTTGCCATTAACAAGGTATAGGAATAGGCTTTTACTCTTTTAAACTGGCACACAAAAACTGACACCTTTATTCAAGGCATCATTATGAGACCTCCTTTTAGCCAGTAACAAGATATAGGAATAGGTTTTTACTCTTTTAAACTGGCACACAAAAACTGACACCTTTATTCAAGGCATCATTATGAGACCTCCTTTTAGCCAGTAACAAGATATAGGAATAGGTTTTTACTCTTTTAAACTGGCACAAAAACGATGTCGTAAAATTTGCGCAAAATTCCAAAGTTCCTACCAGCCCACCCTGCAGGGACCTGTTTCCTGGACAAAGCCAAAGGGGCCGTGCTTTTGCCCACGTCCGGCCGGGCCCTAGTGAGGCTGAGTTCGCCTCCGCTACCCCACGTGGGCGGCTGGGGGGGGGGGGCTGGGGGGGCGGGCTGGGGTGGGGGGCGGGGCCCGTCCAGGTTCTTCTGGAAGTTTCCAGAAAGGGGGCCGGTACCGGTGGGGGGGGGGGGGGGAGGGGGGGCCAGGATCCTCTGGAAGTTTCCAGAAAGGGGGGCGGTACCGGTGGGCTGGGGGGGGGGGGCGGGGCCCATCCAGGTTCTTCTGGAAGTTTCTAGAAAGGGGGCGGTACCGGTGGGGGGGGGGGGAGGGGGGGCCAGGATCCTCTGGTAAGTTTCCAGAAAGGGGGCCTGGTACCGGTGGTGGGCTGGGGGGGGCGGGGCCCGTCCAGGATCCTCTGGAAGTTTCCAGAAAGGGGGCGGTACCGGTGGGGGGCTGGGGGGGAGGAGTCTCCGGGGAAGGTGAATGAGAGGGGGCTCTCGGGTCGGCCAGGGGGCAGTGCTGCCAATGTTGAAAGGCAGAAGGCCGGCTAGGCCAGGAGACCCTGGGAGCCAGGGTAGCCTGGGACCCTGCTGGGACCCTGCTGGGACCCTGCTGGGACCCTGCTGGGACCCTGGGACCCTGCTGGCACCCTGGGACCCTGGGACCAGGGTAGCCTGGGACCCTGGGACCCTGCTGGGACCCTGCTGGGACCCTGCTGGACCCTGCTGGGACCCTGCTGGGACCCTGCTGGGACCCTGGGACCCTGCTGGTTACCCTGGGACCCTGGGACCCTGCTGGTACCCTGGGACCCTGCTGGTACCCTAGGACCCTGCTGGGACCCTGCTGGTACCCTGGGACCCTGCTGGGACCCTGCTGGTACCCTGGGACCCTGCTGGGACCCTGCTGGTACCCTGGGACCCTGCTGGTACCCTGGGACCCTGGGACCCTGCTGGCACCCTGGGACCCTGCAGGGACCCTGGGACCCTGCTGGGCCCCTGGGACCCTGCTGGGCCCCTGGGACCCTGCTGGCACCCTGGGACCCTGCAGGGACCCTGGGACCCTGCTGGCACCCTGGGACCCTGCAGGGACCCTGGGACCCTGCTGGGACCCTGCTGGGACCCTGGGACCCTGGTACCCTGGGACCCTGGGACCCTGCTGGGAGCCTGGGACCCTGCTGGGACCCTGGGACCCTGCTGGTAACCTGGGACCCTGCTGGGACCCTGGGACCCTGCTGGGACCCTGGGACCCTGCTGGGACCCTGGGACCCTGCTGGGACCCTGGGACCCTGCTGGGACCCTGCTGGGACCCTGCTGGTACCCTGGGACCCTGCTGGGACCCTGGGACCCTGCTAGGACCCTGCTGGGACCCTGCTGGGACCCTGCTGGGACCCTGGGACCCTGCTGGGACCCTGCTGGGACCCTGCTGGGACCCTCGGACCCTGCTGGGACCCTGCTGGCACCCTGGGACCCTGCTGGGACCCTGGGACCCTGCTGGGACCCTGGGACCCTGCTGGTACCCTGGGACCCTGCTGGGACCCTGGGTCCCTGGGACCCTGCTGGGACCCTGCTGGGACCCTGGGACCCTGCTGGGACCCTGCTGGGACCCTGCTGGGACCCTGCTGGGACCCTGGTCGCAACCCGCACCGTGGACAGCCGGAGGGCCGAGAGCCAGGGGCGGTGTAGCCGAGTGTGGTGGTGGTGGTGGTGGCCACGCTAGGCCGGAGGCTGTCCCGCGTGGTGCCAGGCTAGGTACACCACTCCACCCCACGTGGTGCCAGGCTAGGTGCACCACACCACACCCACGTGGTGCCAGGCTAGGTACACCACTCCACCACACCCACGTGGTGCCTGGCTAGGTACACCACTCCACCCCACGTGGTGCCAGGCTAGGTACACCACTCCACCCCACGTGGTGCCAGGCTAGGTACACCACTCCACCCCACGTGGTGCCAGGCTAGGTACACCACTCCACCCACAACACCCACGTGGTGCCAGGCTAGGTACACCACTCCACCCCACGTGGTGCCAGGCTAGGTACACCACTCCACCCTACGTGGTGCCAGGCTAGGTACACCACTCCACCCAACGTGGTGCCAGGCTAGGTACACCACTCCACCCTACGTGGTGCCAGGCTAGGTACACCACTCCACCCCACGTGGTGCCAGGCTAGGTACACCACCCCACCCACGTGGTGCCAGGCTAGGTACACCACTCACCCCACGTGGTGCCAGGCTAGGTACACCACTCCACCCCACGTGGTGCCAGGCTAGGTACACCACTCCACGTGGTGCCAGGCTAGGTACACCACTCCACTCCACGTGGTGCCAGGCTAGGTACACCACTCCACCCCACGTGGTGCCAGGCTAGGTACACCACTCCAGCCCACGTGGTGCCAGGCTAGGTACACCACTCCACCCACGTGGTGCCAGGCTAGGTACACCACTCCACCCCACGTGGTGCCAGGCTAGGTACACCACTCCAGCCTACGTGGTGCCAGGCTAGGTACACCACTCCACCCCACGTGGTGCCAGGCTAGGTACACCACTCCAGCCCACGTGGTGCCAGGCTAGGTACACGCGGAGTTTCTGTAAAGTCACGTGGAAGGGAAACAATAAAAAATATAAAACTCAAAAAAATATAAAACACCTGATGATGACTGTTTGTGTTATGGTCGAAACGTCGTGAGAATTTTTATTGTTTTATAGATTTTTTTTATTTTATATTTTATAATATAAAATATATTATTATGTTATTGTTTTATATATATTTTTGTATTATTTTATTGTTTTATATATTATTTTATTGGTTTATATATTATTTTAATTTTTTATATATTTTATTATGTTATTGTTTTATATATATTATTTTATTGTTTTATATATATGTTATTATTTTATTGCTTTATATACTTTATTATTTTATTGTATTATATATATTTTATTATTTTGTTGGTTTTTTTTATATATTTTTATTTTATTGTTTTATATTTTTTTTATTATTTTATTGTTTTATATATATTATTTTATTGTTTCATATATATTTTATTATTTATTGGTTTTTATATATTTTATTATTTATTGTTTTATATATTTATTGTTTATATATTTTATTATTTTATCGCTTTATATATTATTTTATTGTTTTATATATTTTTTATTGTTTTATATATATTATTATTTTATTGTTTTATATATTATTATTTTATTGTTTTATATATTTTTATTATTTTATTGTTTTATATATATTATTTTATCGTTTTATATATTTTATTATTTTATTGTTTCCCTTCAACGTGACTTTAACGCAAAGGGCTGAGCAATAAAGACTATATAAAACAATAAAAAATTATCGCGACGTTTATCGACTGCGGCACAAGAGGCAGTCATCGACGGGCGTGAAAACCACGACGAGAAAATTCGTGGCACAACAGATTTTCTTGTTGTTGGTTTTCACGACGCCTTGTTGTTGGTTTTCACGACGCCTGACGATGATTGGGCCGGGTTACAGTCAGCTAGGGCCGAGAGCCAGAGGAGATTAGCCGAGTGTGGTGGTGGTGGTGGTTGGTGGTGGTGGTGGTGGTTGGTGGTGGTTGGTGGGTGGTGGTGGTGGTGGTGGTTGTGGTGGGTGGTGGTGGTTATGGTGGTGGTGGTGGTGGTGGTCGTGGTGGTGGTTGGTGGTGGTGGTGGTGGTGGTTGGTGGTGGTGGTGGTGGTTGGTGGTGGTGGTTGTGGTGGTTGTGGTGGTTGGTGGTGGTGGTGGTTGTGGTGGTGTTGGTGGTGGTGGTGGTGGGTGGTGGTGGTGGTTGGTGGTGGTGGTGGTTGTGGTGGTTGTGGTGGTGGTGGTGGTGAGTGGTGGTGGTAGTGGTGGTGGTGGTGGTGGTCGTGGTGGTTGGTGGTGGTGGTGGTGGTTGGTGGTGGTGGTTGTGGTGGGTGGTGGTGGTGGGTGGTGGTGGGTGGTGGTGGTGGTTGGTGGAGGTGGTGGTGGTGGTGGTGGTTGGTGGTTGGTGGTGGTGGTGGTGTTGGTGGTGGTAGTGGTGGTGGTGGTGGTGGTGGTTGGTGGTGGGTGGTGGTGGTGGTGGGTGGTGGTGGTGGTGGTGGGTGGTGGTGGTTGGTGGTGGTGGTTGGTGGTGGTGGTGGTTGGTGGTGGTGGTGGTGGTTGGTGGTTGGTGGTGGTCGTGGTGGTGGTGGTGGTGGTTGGTGGTGGTGGTGGTGGGTGGTGGTGGTGGTTGGTGGTGGTTGGTGGTGGTGGTGGTGGTGGGGGTTGGTGGTGGTGGTGGTGGTTGGTGGTGATGGTTGGTGGTGGTGGTGGGTGGTCGTGGTGGTGGTAGTTGGTGGGTGGTGGTGGTGGTGGGGGTGGTGGTGGTGGTGGTTGGTGGTGGTGGTGGTGGTGGGTGGTTGGTGGTTGGTGGTGGTGGTTGGTGGTGGTGGTGGTTGGTGGTGGTGGTGGTGGTTGGTGGTGTTGGTGTTGGTGGTGGTGTTGGTGGTGGTGGTTGGTGTTGGTGGTGTTTGTGGTGGTGTTGGTGGTGGTGGTTGGTGGTGGTGGTGGTGGTGTGTGGTGGTGGTGGTTGGTGGTGGTGGTGGGTGGTCGTGGTGGTGGTGGTGGTGGGTGGTGGTGGTGGGTGGTGGTGGTGGTGGTGGGTGGTGGTGGTGGTGGTGGTTGGTGGTGGTGGTGGGTGGTGGTGGGTGGTGGTGGTGGGTGGTGGTGGTGGTGGTTGGTGGAGGTGGTTGGTTGGTGGAGATGGTCGTGGTGATGGGTGGTGGTGGTGGTTGGTGGTGGTGATGGTGGGTGGTGGTGGTGGTGGTGAGATTGGGGTGATGGTTGGTGGTGGGGGTGGGGGGTGGTGGTGGTGGGTGGTTGGTGGTGGTGGTGGTTGTGGTGGTGGTGGTTGGTGGTGGTGGTGGTGGTGGTTGGTGGTGGTGGTGGTGGGTGGTAGTGTTGGTAGTGGTGGTGGTGGTGTTGGTGGTGGTGGTGTTGGTGGTGGTGGTGGTGTTGGTTGGTGTTGGTGGTGGTGGTGGTGTTGGTGGTGGTGGTGGTTGGTGGTGGTGGTGGTGGGTGGTGGGTGGTAGTGTTGGTAGTGGTGGTGGTTGGTGGTGGTTGGTGGTGGTGGTGGTTGTGGTGGTTGGTGGTGTTGGTGGTGGTGGTGTTGGTGGTGGTGGTGGTGTTGGTGGTAGTGGTGTTGGTGGCCACACCAGACCAGCCCAGAGGCTGTACCTCTCCCCAGGTAGGGGGAGTTCCAGCGGAGTTTCTGTACCCTAATAAAGTATTTAAAGCTTTCGTGAGTGCGTAGAATTGCTCGTCGTTTTTTTTCTTTCGGTAAAGTCACGTGGTGTAGAAATACACCTGATGAAGATCGCTTGCCTTGTGATCGAAACGTCGTGATTGGTTTTTTTTTAATTTTAATATAATTTTTTTTGTATTTCTGTACCCTAGTTTACGATAAAACCGTGTTGCCTCTGAGCAGACATACGCCTCCAGTCTCCGTGGAACTCACTCTTTGTAGTCGCTCACAGCACTTGCCCCTACAGCCCCTGCAAGAGGCTACCTGGGGGAGCTTTGCCTTTCTCTTTGTAGTCGCTCACAGCATTTGCCCCTACAGCCCCTGCCAGAGGCTACCTGGGGGAGCTTTGTCTCTTTGTAGTCGCTCACAGCACTTGCCCGCTACCAGCCCCTGCCAGAGGCTACCTGGGGTAGCTTTGTCTCTGTGCGTAGTAGACTCACAGCACTTGCCCCCTAACAGCCCCTGCCAGAGGCTACCTGGGGGAGCTTTGTCTCTGTGTGCAGTAGACTCACAGCACTTGCCCGCTACAGCCTCCGCCAGAGGCTACCTGGGGGAGCTTTGTCTCTGTGCGCAGTAGCTCACAGCACTTGCCCGCTACCAGCCCCTGCCAGAGGCTACCTGGGGGAGCTTTGTCTCTTTGTAGTCGCTCACAGCACTTGCCCCTACAGCCCCTGTCAGAGGCTACCTGGGGGAGCTTTGTCTCTGTGTGCAGTAGCTCACAGCACTTGCCCCCTAACAGCCCCTGCCAGAGGCTACCTGGGGGAGCTTTGTCTCTTTGTAGTCGCTCACAGCACTTGCCCGCTACAGCCCCTGCCAGAGGCTACCTGGGGGAGCTTTGTCTCTTTGTAGTCGCTCACAGCACTTGCCCCTACAGCCCCTGCCAGAGGCTACCTGGGGTAGCTTTGTCTCTGTGTGTAGTAGCTCACAGCACTTGCCCCCTACAGCCCCTGCCAGAGGCTACCTGGGGGAGCTTTGTCTCTTTGTAGTCGCTCACAGCACTTGCCCCTACAGCCCCTGCTAGAGGCTACCTGGGGGAGCTTTGTCTCTGTGTGCAGTAGCTCACAGCACTTGCCCCCTAACAGCCCCTGCCAGAGGCTACCTGGGGGAGCTTTGTCTCTTTGTAGTCGCTCACAGCACTTGCCCCTACAGCCCCTGTCAGAGGCTACCTGGGGGAGCTTTGTCTCTTTGTAGACGCTCACAGCACTTGCCCCTACAGCCCCTGCCAGAGGCTACCTGGGGGAGCTTTGCCTTTTTCTTTGTAGTAGCCTCACAGCACTTGCCCCCTAACAGCCCCTGCCAGAGGCTACCTGGGGGAGCTTTGTCTCTGTGTGTAGTAGCTCACAGCACTTG